CTGGGCAAGCAGAACGATACTAGTGGCGGATCGAGCTGGGGACGCAGAACGATATGTTGGTGAATCGAGCTGGGGCAAGCAAGACAGTGGTGGGGGTGGTTCTGCCTGGGGTAAACAGGATAGTGGTCGTGGTGGTGGTTCTGCCTGGGGCAAGCAGAACGATACAAGTGGTGGTTCGAGCTGGGGCAAGCAAGACAGTGGCGGGGGAGGTTCTGCCTGGGGTAAGCAGAACGATACAAGTGGTGGTGGATCGAGCTGGGGCAAGCAGAACGATACAAGTGGTGGGGGATCTAACTGGGGCAAGCAGAATGATACTGGTGGTGGTGGATCTAGCTGGGGCAAGCAAGACACTGGCGGAGATGGTCCAAGCTGGGGTAAACGGGATGGTGGTGGTGGTGGTTCTGCTTGGGGTAATCAAAACGATGGTGGTGGGGGATCGAGCTGGTCCAAACAGGGTGATGGCGGTTCTAAACCGTGGGAAGAACAAGGTGGTGGTCGTGGGTTTGGTGGAAGAAGAGGGGGTTTCCGAGGATGTTTCCGCGGAGGTAGAAACCAATCAGCAGGCAGAGATGGAGGACGCTCGTTTGGTCGGGATCAATCATCTGGCTGGAAAAGAGACAGTCAAGAGAGCACTTGGAAGAGCGACCAGAGTGGTGGATCCGACTGGAAAAAAGGATGGGGAGAGGATTCAAACAATAGAAAGCCATCGGATTCATCCTCTAGCGGAAAGTGGTCTAGCTGGGATACTAACTCAAAGAAAGAAGCCAATGCTGGTGACGACAAACCTAGCAATGAAAACAAACCAGCTTGGGGAAATAGTAACAACCAGGTGAGTTCCGGAAACAGCAATGACGGTTGGAACAAAAAGCCAAATGATGATGTTAAAACGAGTGGAGAAGCCGATAACGCATGGGGCGCCAAAACAAACGCAGCAGCACCGTCATCAAGTGGCTCGGCGTGGGGAACCGGTGACAACAAATCTGGATGGTAAAAAAAAAAAACAATCCTGAAAGTTGACTTGTAAGTAGTTCTCACTATCTCTATCTAAGTCTAAAGCCCAAGTCTAAGTTAAACGCCATGAGGTGTCTTTCTTCAGTTTTTGGGGCTTTCACTTTTTGCTAAACCTCGTCGGTTGGTTTATGGTCGTTGACTAAGGACTGATTTTGTAGATGTTTTGACTTTTAGCCTATCGGAAGTTCCATCTTCATCACGTTTTTATCAATTATGAACGCTTACCAGTTGTCGTTATTATTCTATCGCATAGCAGCTTAAATTATCTAGACAACGTCGGATTGTTTTCGAATTGAAACAACATTTTGTTGTTTATAATTGAAAAAAAAAAAAAAAAATTGAAACAAGACAAAAAAATAGAAAAAGGGGATATGATAAGCTTCTTAAGTTGACTTGGTACCCAACTTAAGTAGTACCCATCAACTCGTATTTTGTCTTAGCTCCCATTTTTAATCACAATTATAGTTTAGAAATTAGAAAGAAAAAAAAAACAATTCAAGAACCACTTAGTAATAAAATAAACAGTTAAAAATGCACATACACTGTGTAAAAAGATTCCTCCAGCCAATTGATAAGCCCCAATTTTGGACCAAAAAAGTTTAGCCATCAAACGAGAATATAAATAATTTTATACATTTCCTCGTATATTCTACAACTTGCAAATGCGCGTGTACCTATATCTATTTTAAAGTATGTATATTCGTTTTTTTTTCTTTTTTCATATTTTTTTTTTGTACCCATAAGTAATAAATAATAAACCCTTAAACCAATGATGAAATTATCATCTCGTATGGTGTGGAAAATACCAAAGTAAAATGAGACTGAATAAAATCGACCAGACTTTTACCGGTCTCAGAGCCACCGCCGCACTGGTATTGCTACCGAATATCATTGAGAAAAGGCCATCATCGCTGTCGCTGTCACTGCCGCCACCGCCACCTGGTCCACCTTTACTGTAACCGCGTGTGATGGTCCCACCACCGCCCGTGATTCCGGGAAAACCTCCTCCTTGGCCGTTTCTCCCACTACACCACCAAACCATATTATCAACAATTATAATCATCATAATAAATATTATAATTATAATTTGTTGATGATGTGTTGTGTCAAAAGATACTAACAGTGACGCCAGTCTTTGATCAAAATGGACGAATCAATGTCAAAATGTTTAGCAAAAAAAATTTATAAAAAGTTCGGAAAGGAGAGTAAAGACGAAAACAACGTAGCTCCATCACATGCATATATTTTTTTTTTCCGTCACTTGTTAGAATTTATGACTATACTTCTAAATTCAATTTTCGCCATCAAATAAAAATGAAAATTTTCTTCTTTCAAAAATTTCTTCTTTCAAATAATTGAAATACACACTTCAAAATAAAAGTAGTTTTGACAAGGAATATCGAACTTTTGACAGCAAGACGGCTAAGAGAATCCGCCATCTTTACTTTTGCAAAAGAGGGTCAAATGTTAAATTTTATCTATTTCATTATTAAAAGGATCAAATGCAACACCAAGTAGCTCTTGGAGATACGTAGATATATACTTATTATGACTGTTTGTTCCACATCTAAGTATGTAGATCGAATCTATATATTATATAGTCTTCGAAAAAGTCCCACTAGGCGTTGTTTTTGCTGGAAAGCAGATAATTCAATCAGGAGGGAATATATTACGAAATCTGAACCCATTATATATATATATATATATATATATATATATAATGGGCCATTGATTTGATAATCAAACATTAAATGTGTCTTCACACCTTAAATGTATGAAGAACTAATTCACAAGGAAATGGATCTTTTTTCTTCTTCGTAAAGTTCTTCCAAAATGTGGGGTTTTATATATATACCAAGTTGCCAAACAACGAACCACTAAACCCTAAATTGGTGAAGAACTTGCTAATAAGGACATGAATCTTTTTGTTTTATAATTATAATAATTAATTTTTGTAGGGATTTAAAGTTATACCATATCGTCAAACAAAGAAAAACACTAAACCCTAATTTGGTGATGAAATGGTAATAAGGAAATGAATATTTATTAATAGAGGTTTCATTTTTTAAATAATTTTGCATGTAGGAGAGGAAATACGATAAAGCATCAAGAAAAGCATATACGTTAGACTCATCAAGAAAGGCCTTTGGGTTTTTCATCTTTATAAGTTTAGATCTCCGATCCACACGCTTCGCACGTGTGAGATTTTTTTTTTTAAGGGAAAAAGAGAAGCTTTTGTGAACATGATGAGCTTTATGCATGTTCATGTTAACGTTATTGTTATCTTTGTTGCCATTTCGGAAATATCTTAACATGGTGTGTAACTCACTAACTTTTTAATATCCAAAACATCTATAACATGCATACACGATTCGTGTTTCAATTTCTTGCAAAAATGGAAAACTAAGAAGAAAATTTTATTGTTAAAAAGTATTAATTTTAGTGAAGAACCTATTCTTAAAATTTTGAAAACCCAAGGTAGGTAAATGCAAATCTGTAGAAATATAACAAATATACAAACCAAACTTGCAATCATTTTTGTACTTAGTTACTGAAAATAGCACCCAATTTTCGAAATATCAGGAACAATGAAAGAATTTTGTATATATGTTTATAAGAATGATATTATTGAAAATCTTAAAAGAAAAAAAAAAGTTGATGTTATGTCAGTGTTTAGTGTAAAAAATAATGAAAAAAATGTCCTAGTTTAGAAAGAAAGAAAACAAAAAATCAATAAAGAATAGGGGCAAAACTGTAATAAGAAAGATGCTAGTTTTAGTAGATGAGGCAAGACCGGAGTAAATAATATTATAATCATACCTAGGATCGCCGAAAACGCCGGCGTTGACCGTGAGCTGGTCAATGATAGCGGCGGCTTTCGCCTGAACGCTGGTAGCTCTGGCGAAGGCAGGGCTGACTCCGTCACCTGACGGCACGAAAAACGCTCCGTTAACCATAACGTCTCCTTCCGTCCTCCAGTTCCATTTTTCCCAGTGTTTCTCGTTTGTGTCCACGCGCTTCGTCACCTATCGCAAACATAAACACAGCGCATGAATACCACGCGACACCAAAAGGCGCGTTATCTTTGACTGTGTGTGTGTCAACGTCATCGACGACGACGAAAATAATGTAACCGTCAAACAAGACTCCAGCCGGCGCGTGTGAATAACGCTCTAGTGGCCCACTATTGACGACACGTCAGATTAAAAAGCAAAAAGGCCCCACCAATCCATATCCAGTAATAATATAATAAAGATCATAAAACTATTCATTCATCTTTTAGAATAATAACTTTTCTGAAGAAACAAAAAAAACTGAATGCAAGACCCTTGTTAACAGATAAAAGAGAAAACTTTATCAAAATATTTAACATTTTACCAAAAAAAAAAAAACTTTATCAAAATACTTGGTTTATATTTGTTTCTTGTAAAATCTTGATAACTTGATAAATACTATATAGTAAAAAAAAATGACCTGTTTGGCATTGGGATCAATGGGTGCGGTGTAACGGTTACCCTGGCTATTGATGGTAGGGTTAGCACTTCCACCGATTGCATACATTTGCCAAGCCGTGAAGTCGTTGTTGACGACGTGGATGTAACCGTGCCTACACCGAGGCATCCTCTGCACCAGTCCCTCCCCGAAATGGTTGAATGCTATTGTCACCTGCATCCCCGAGTCCGCCGTATACCTTTTCAAAATTGCCCAAATTATCAAACTTTTTGGGTTAAATTGATCAAATCCGAAAACTTTAAAGCTTTTATTGAAAAAAAAGGTTATGAAATCAAAGATTTTTACCGGTCGTCGTGACCTAAGAGCATAACCTCGTCGTGGTGATAGAAATAGTTGTTGGAGATTGTGACGGCGGTTGATGCAAGTATCACGTCGATTAGCCCGTCCATACAGTATCCGAGAGAGCAGTGATCGACCCAAATGTGATGCGAAGCTGAGACAGAGATCCCGTCGCCGTCGGAGACTCCTCGGAATCCGACGTGTGTCGGCGACGAAGCGACCAGAGTGTTTCCGGAGGGTTTGCAGTGGTGAATGTGGACGTTGTGGATGATGACGTGGCTCACCTGCTGGATCGTTAGGCATCCATGGCCGGTTATTTGGACATTCGTGCCTCGACCGTCGATTGTCTTGTAGCTTCCGATGATGAGCTCGTGTTTGAGTCTGATCCCCATGTCGCCGGAGAATACGATCCAGAGAGGTTCCGGCTGGATCACGGCGTGACGAAGTGTTCCGGGAATTGGGTTCGCCGCGTCGTTGTCAGAGGAATCGGTGACGAGGTAAAATCGACCGCCTTTGCCGCCGAGCGTACCTTGTCCAAAGCCGATTGAGCAGTCGGCGAGGCGTTGGCGATTTTCAGACCAGTTTGGGTCGCAACGCCAGCAGTCGTCGATTGGGTTTCCGGTGATGCAAGATGGTATTGGAGCCGACGCCGTCGTGTCGCCGTCTTGTTGGTAAGTGAGAAGGTTTCTTCTGTAGAGAGAGTCGTTGAGTTTTCTGCATTTGATAAGAGAGAATGATGATCCATGCTGTGGAAAGAAACAGAGGAGTTGATGCTCTGTTTTTTTTTAAATGCAGACGATTTCAAAGAAACAGAGGAGATGATGCTCTGTTTTTAAAAATGCAGAGTATTTCAAAGAAACAGAGGAGAGGTTTTGTGACTCGAAAGTGAAATAAAATGCAAGAAAAGTAAGAGAAAAGTTATACCTTTGAACATTAAGAACGACATCTTCAGGGAATGGGTGTTGGTGTGGGAGAGAAAGATTGAAGAAAGATGTCGAGGTCGAGGTCGAGGTTGATGATGAAGAAGATGCTCTTCCAAGGTGAGAGAGAGAAACCAAGAGGCAGAACAAGATAATGCAAATGTATGTTGGTTGTTGAGGGTTATTGATCCTCTTATGAGCCACCATTATAACCTCGTCTTCTTTCTCTCCCTCTCTTACTATCTCTTCTGAAAAGGGCCAGCCAAATCAGAAACTGAAGTTTCTTAAATATGGTTTATGGGGAATTGTGCAAATCGGGTTATATAATAACAAGGGTCAAAAGAATTTATTTGTGTTTCCTTCCTATCTCTCTCTCCTCTCTATAGTTTGTTTCAAGTAGAAGAAAAGAAGTTTAGAGAGAGAGAGAGAGAGAGAGAGAGAGAGAGAGAGAGGGATAGTGTGTGAAGAAGGGACAGAGAATCCTTGAAGGCCTTCAAAACTCTCTCTCTCTCTCCAATCTGATGCTTACTTTTGTAAGAGTGACTCAGTTTACTTGCATTACCCAATCATCTACACATCCCTCTCAACGAAACAATCTTTCTATGGATTTAATGTCATTAACATCGGGACAAGTTACACAAAAAATATACTACTATATGTTGTTGAAGATTGTAATTCTCTTAATTTAAATAAACAAGCGTATAAATTTACCTCAAAACGAAGCTCTTGAATGCAAGATAATAATGCTCTCTGTCGAAGATTTTGGATTTGGACATACAAGAGCAAAAACTTCTAAAGATTTTGTCCAAACTCAAAAAGGACAGAGTTGTTCGTCAAGACGATCCTTATCGGAATATAGTTAAATTTCTATAAATACATACTTCTTAATTTTTTTTTTTCTTGCCAAATGGAAATTTTAGTGTTTCGCAATCTAGCAAATGGAAACTTAACATTACCGGATTTTTACGTTTATAATTTTGAAATCTTCTGTTGAAGTTGGAAATTTTCTTTATAAACAAAGGTAAGAGTTCTGTCCGGAGGTAAAATTTTTTTTAAAAATGGTAAATTTTCTTACATCAAAAAAAACTTTTAGAGGA